ATTTGGCCGGCGACCCGTCTCATGCCCAAATCTTTGATAAAAATCGAATGGCACGAGCCAATCGATATGTTTAGGTCCTCAGCAACTTCTCTAACGGTGATTCGACGATTGGCCAATATCATTTCTCCACTTCATAATTTTTTTGTCTGTTGTTTAAGTGCTCGGGCGTCCGGCACGCTCTTCGTCGTTCACATCTTCTCGGCCTTCTGAGAACATTTGGTACCACCGATAAACTTTGCTTCGGTCCAAGGTAGCTTCTCCGTATGCCACAGTCAACATTCGGAATGCATCGCGTACTTAATTTCGTTTTTCACGCAAAATTTGATACAGGTTCTTTGATCCATTTTTAATAGGTAAAAATCGAAGACGATCCAAAACACCTGCAAGCAAAGCAGCTGTCAACAATTAAGTGAACATTCAAAATGGCCGAGCTTGTCGGCATAAGTGAGAGACATGAGTACCAACATAAAGCCACAAAAAGATCGAAATTCGAATATACGTAACCCGCGAAAATTCAAAATTCGCGATACTTTTTGAACACACCTACACGGCGTATATAACGGCGAATAATATTGGTATTCCAATTTTTTTAAAGTGTTCACGAAATTTTATGACAACCTTGTATTATTCTATCATAACATTTTTATCTATCTTTATTGTTATCATAATTAACTTAGCGCCTATTCTATCGCTGAAAAATGGAAATATATTTTGAGCGCTATTTTTTAAATATATATTTGAAACCTATTTCTACAGAGTTCATACTGCAATGATTAAAAATTGAACGAAGGAGGTTATATCTTTATTGTTATTATATTTTTGTGTTTTTTACCTTTTACTAGTATCATATCTTAGAATCTTCTTGTTCGTTTGAAGTGGAATACGTTGTCTTTAGCCATTTCAACTGGGGACACTCCTCATTATCAGGCCACTGACTTAACTCCAATATGAATGGCTGTATCTGATATGAGAAAGAGATAGCAGGCGCTCCTAACTTAGAGAACAGTCGATTCTGTGTCTACGGATCAGAAGTACTTACAAGGTATTATAGTGTTATGTAATTAAAAAAAGTAAGCAAGAAAGTTGAATCCGTAACCAATTTAACTTTACATATTATTTATTATTAATAGCAATTATACAAAACAAATCTTGGTATATGTTTATACATGAAAACAACAACAAACAAATAATTATTATATATAAGTTCTTTTTCAAACACATGCACATCTATATCCATTGTTACTCTGTGTAATATTCCAATAATTAGCCCGATCAGTTGAACTCAGATTTTGTAGAGAGTTTGTTACCGCTCTTCCTTCTTCTTTGCAAAATTTGAGAGAGTCAAAGCATATTTGGATCATAAAAATTCAATTTTCAGAATGACAAATGGAACATGAGCTATATTTACTCTCTCTCTATGAAGACATTTCCTTAAATTAACAATATTGAATTCAGCAATATTTATCCTTGTTTAGAAATATTCTCTTATATTTCTTTAATAATAAGTAAAAATGTATCTTGTGTATGTAACGTCCTCGTGTTTGTTAGTTGACGTTAATCAACATGAAGTATTTGGAAGATTAAAAATAAAAAGTCTTTATTTCTTTTAGGCTAAACTCCGACATTATTTACGGGGCTGCTAACCAAAATGAATAATTTTTGAGGAAAAAAAGGTAATAGCCTACAGCACCCGGTGTTCCCAAGTGGTCACCCTCCCAAGTACTGACCGGGCTCGACATTCCTTAACTTCGGTGATCGGACAAGAACCGTGTTTTCAATGTGGTATGGCCGTAGGCAACTCAGACATAAGTTTACAAGTGGATATATAATACAATCAGTCAAAAAGACACTCCACAGAGTACCATCAGTGATGTGCTCACTGATAATTTACTATATATCCTGTAGGTTATGCCAGCTGCCGTTACAGTGTATGTACTGTGTGGTGAGAAAAGATAGAAAATAGAGGTAATCCAGATTTCTGGAACCTATCAGAATACATACCTATGTTAGAACATGAATGTTTGATATTTAACCTTGTATGCAAAGGATAAGAAAGATGCAAGGGAATATGATTTTTTGAAAATTTCAGAAAGAATATTAAAATAAATTTACATATATATTTGACAGGCATATTCAGCTAATAATATATTGTAACAAAGTATATATTATTTTATTAGCAGAGTATTATTTTTATGTTTATATTTTGCTATACTCTGTACACTTCCCTCTTTTGCTTATCTTTTGTTTATCCTTCATAGTTTGTTCTTGCCTGAAATAAATTGTTGTCTCATCCCGAAGTTAGTCTTCCTTGATTTTCCACGTGGCAATATAAACACTTGACTGTGCCTAGACTTTTTAAAGATACTGATTCCAAGATGATTAATCAAATATTATTGATTTACAAGAGATAGAATAAATTAAAAGGAAAAACTTATAACAGAGTAAACAAACTATCATCCACCATGCATGTATATTTTCAAAAACTTTGTTTCTTAAACTGAAATAATGTAATATATTTTTCTCTCAATATATAATAAGTATTTAAAATATGTATATAATAATGTAAATGTAAAAATTGTATTTATTATTAAGTTATTAACGTGATAATCCTGTTGAAGGACTGACAAGTCCGAAAGCTTGAAAATAAAAAGTTGCACAAGAAACTTAGCCCTGGAAGCTTCATTTATTTTATAAAACTAGTAAATATATAAATTATTTAGAAAAATGAATTAAATTATAGAATAAAATGAATAATAAAGAAGATAAAATGTTAAACAGTTTACTTAACACGGTGGAAATAGTTAATTTATAAATTATATAATAATAAAAGTATAATGATATATTTGGTAAACTATTTCAAACATGGATAATATAAAAATGAGTTATGGATATTTACAAGGAGAAAGAATACATAAATATTTCGTATATATGTTCATTTTTCAAATAAATAAATAAGAAGACGCAGAAGTACATTGCAAAGAAGCAGACGAGACAGTGGAAAATGGCGGGAAGATGACTTGCCATCTGTCAACTCGCAGTAATTATCTAGCAGAAGAACAAAGGCCAGCCTAATACAATTACAGACGACGTCCACCGTATTGTAACCGCCAACACAATTAGGACATGTGGACAAATATTTCCTTAACTGTCTAGGATAAATACACAGAGTTAAATTATAATGTTTTATTCTATGAATGGAGAGAAGCTGTTTCTCTCCCTTAAATTCTTCTCAATATTCTTCTGTAATTGGATATATTACTAATATTTATCAATACATTTCACTAGTGGAAATATTTGAAGATAATTTGAGGAACTATTTTGATATAGGTGTATTACTAGTATTTGAAATATTACTAATTGGTATTTTTGTCTTTCTCTCTTTTTTCCCTTATCATTCATTTCATGCACAAAATTATTTTTTTTCTGATTATTTATCATAAATTTTGAAAATAGAGCAATCCATAAATAAATCTTTAATTAAAAAGGCATATATTGGATCAAAATATCATTTATTTTACCAATATTTCAGTTGGTTTAACGCCAACCTTTATTAAGGTATTATAACAATATAAAATGTTATAATACCTTAATAAAGGTTGGCGTTGAGCCAACTGATATATTGGTAAAATAAATGATATTTTGATCCAATATATGCCTTATCATAAATTATTGTTAAAAGGATTTTAAAAGTAAAATATTGTACTGGGAGATATATTTCAGGTGGATAAATTAAGAAAAAAGTATCTTTTGATCGTGAAACTAAATCCATCGGCATTTTTTTAGTTGCACAATCAGGAGATGATTTTTTTCTTAACAGAAATTATTGTATAATAATAATACTATATTTCACACGATTAGATGTTATCATAGAGAAATATCAATTTATAAATATAAATAGATATATTCATTATAATTATTCGTATTGTTACGTCGTACCCAGACGCTATTCGTGTGCTTTGTCTACTCAGGATGCCACAAAGATACACATGTGAGTTCGAAGGGATTGCAGCTAAAGTTAGCGCTTTATTGTATCTCACTTAATAAGAACACAGCTGGGACTTGCTTTGCACCTCCCCGTCAGAAAAATCCTTGGCGCCGTGGATGTCATCTTGTGAAGCGTTCCGCTCCACACTGTACACATGCAGCCTGGACTACACCGCCTTGTAGGTCGCTCCGATGTCAGTCTCTCCTGGCCCCACCTTGCAGGATCATCCACACGCCCCGGAGGTAACTCGCCGCCGTCTTCTTGCCGCAGATCTCGATGTCACCAGACTGACTTCTCCCCTAGGCTGTCATGTTTTCTCGGCGCACAAACTCCCCTTCAGGCCGATCGCTATCTCGGCTCCTTCCTTCACTACGGCATCAGCTGGACTGTCTGTCTGCCGACTCCTCCTCTTTAATCTGTCAATAAACACTTCCTTGTGGAGAGGGGTCCTGCATACCTTCTTAACTGGCTTGCCCACATCTTCTCTTCATCTTCTTTGCTGCACCGCTTCAATATTTTTAAAAAGGAATAATAAGGCCTATAAAATTGTAATTACAATAAAACACAGTCTCCAAGGATAGGTTTCTTATTTTCTTACATGTTATCTCAAGCTTTCAGGTACTGTGAACCTTCTACTGTAGTTTATAATTGAGATTTTCGTTTGATTGCTCCTGCAGAAGGATTCACAGTACCTGAAAGCTTGAGAGGTCGTCAAATAAGAAACATCCTTGGAGGCTACGTTTTATTGTAATTACAATTTCAATGGGGGGTCGGTGGAAGGATGGTCTAAACCAGGCCTGGCCAACCCGCGGCCCGCCATAAAATAATTTTCGGCTCGCCATTTAACTTTATATTTCTTTTGTACCTTTCATTTCTCGTCTGTATATTCAAAAACAGAAGATATACTGATATAATTATAATAATTTTTTATTTAAAATATTTTAATACATTATAAAGTTAAAATTTTGATATAGTTACATTTTTAGACCTTGTTTACGATTCCGTGCGGCCCGTGGCGTTATTCAGATTGGCCAGGGCTGGTCTAAAACCGTTGGTTTTCGACCACTACGACCCGGGTTCGATTCCCGCATTGGGCACTTTTTTCTGATTAAAAAAAAAATGCTCCGATGGCACCCGATTCTTGCAAAATTCCAACCCCACCAGCGAGTACAAGTAAACAAACGGGGCTCTGGCACATTTGTAAGTGCAAAGTCGAACTGCTTTTCACATGTGTAGACATGTGGTACTCTTACAGTAAAAAGCAGTCGCCTACTTCTACCCACCATGATTATCATGGCTTGTACCACGTGTACTAGGGATAAGCAAAAAGAAAAACAATTTCAATGGATTCTTCCGATACTATAAATATTTTAGTAATTTTGTTAAAAACTAATTACAAATTTGATGTCATATATTATATATATTACAAATAAAGTTTATCAACGATAAATTTGTATATAAAAAAAATTATTCTTAACATTAAAAAAAATATTTTCAAGTTTTTTTTATGAATCGATAATGGCCGTTAATATTTGAAGAATAAATTTTCTGTCATTTCTCTATTGGAAGTAAAAATAATAGGATCTCTTCTCTTGGAAAATTAAGAGAAAATCACAAAGAACTAATTTATTATTTTTTTTTTACAAAAAAAAAAAAAAGAAAAATATTTAAAATATTTTTGATTAGTTAGAAATGACAATAAAAAAATGGAATATTTAAAATCTTGCAATTTCCATAAAATGTTGCAATTCACTCGTACTGCCTTTACCTAGAAGTTAATGAACCACACTCATGAACAAAAGTGAAGGAATTTATACCTCTTAGCATGTATATCAGACAATAACTCTGAAAGATACACTCATAGACAAAACTTAAAGATGTTGTACCTTTTAGCATGTATATCAGGATTCAGGCAATAACTCTGAAAGATACACTCATGGACAAAAGTGAAGAAAGTTGTACATTTTACATGTATATCAGGATTCAGACAATAACTCTAAAAGATATTTGATACACAGTGACCTTTATTGAAGATACATGAAATAACCAAGTGTGAACAAAATAGCCTCTGTCTATTTAAAAAAAAAAAAACAAACGGCTAAAGAGTTTACACTTCCTTAAGTTTTTCCATGAGTATATAAAACAAGACAACAACAAAAAAGCTTTATGAAGACTCTTTAGTCTTATACAGATTCTCCAAGCATAAATGTAGGGTACGTATAGGAATAACAGTAATAGTACAAGAAATCAGCTTGTCATCAGAATGTCCTTTACATCCTACAAAATGATGACAGAAGTGGACTATGGGGCCCCAACGTCATCTGGCGGATGCGTCAGTCCACGCATGATGACGTCAATATAACCGCACCAAATTTAACGTATGGACCAACAAGCCCAACAATACCATTTGTAAATATGCAACTTGGAGAGACTTGTTTAGCTTAGGTGATTATTTCTTTGTGGTTGGGACATACGTATTCACATTTCTTCTAGATAATCAATTTAAGAGTATTAGAGAAATGTTTAAGAAACCCAGAGGTGAAGAATAAATATTGTGTAATGGGTTATCATCTCATTCTCTTTTGTAGATCGTTGAATGATCGGTCAAATGACATGATTTGGCACAATCGTGTCCAAGCCTCGCCGCTTCTATTCAGATCAAGGTTGTCATGACGATAGAATCAATGGCGACTGTCCCTGCTTGTCACTGACAGTGTCCTGGTGACTTATGAGTCAATTACCCGGCTGGGTGTGTCATAGAGTCAACAAATTCTAATCTCTTTTCTCACCAAAGTGTTCCCTAGTTATACATATAACAACAAATACAAACAAATATTACGGAAGAATAGTATACCTATTAATACTCTTTTGAAAATAGAGCAATCCATAGATGAATCTTTAATTAAAAAGGCATATATTGGATCAAAATATCATTTATTTTACCAATATTTCAGTTGGCTGAACGCCAACCTATATCAAAGTGTTATAACATTTTAAAGTGTGTCAACAACAAACTCCTTGATAAAGGTTGGCGTTCAGCCAACTGAAATATTGGTAAAATAAATGATATTTTGATCCAATATTTGCCTTTTTAATTAAATATTTAATACTCTGTTATAATTTGTTTTTGAATTGTCTATGCAAATTGATATCTCTGTCTATATATCACAGCTTTGTTGGATAGTTGTTGTTGGCTAGCGTTTATATTGGATAGGTCAGGCCACTGATACCCGTGAGCTGCTGGTGTACATATAATTTTATTTAGCTCAATTTATTCAATTTCTTATCCTTCCTTATTGTTTATTAAATACGTTCAAGTAATAAAGAATATTCGGGGAGGAAAGAAGGCTGATATTTTCCCAACAGTTTTGTTACTCAAATAGCGATAAAAATATAGCCACTCTTTATTGCTAGATAGCCCGCTAAGGTAGGGTTGTTTTTAATTTAGGATTAACATACTCGTATAATAATAATACATAATCAAATTACTTTATATATAATACATAGAAATTATACATAACAGTGAATAATATTGGTATTTCAATTTTTTGCAAGTGTTTACGAACTTTTGGGACAACCTTGTAAAAATAAACCTTATCCCTGGGAAAATGCTGAGGTTTATCTCCTTAATATTGATACACATACAATTAAAATCCTCTCTTTCCCCCATGTAGCTACTTGCGGCTCTTCAAACCCATAAGGAAGGGAAGATGTCGGAAAAAGAAGAAGCTAGGAAATCGTGTATATATAAAAACAGCCGAATAAATCGTTTTCTAACAATAAATTGGACTCTGGCGCAGACTACTATAGATAAATAAATGTCTGGAGCACCTGTCACATCGGACCAAGTAGTAAAGTGGGTTGAAGAACAGCTCAGACTGTTTGTCTGTGGTACCTATACAGCCTTCTAAATAACGGCACATCGTGAATTGATATCTTTGTTCTAAGTATGGAACAATATTGTAAGATTATAAATCGCAAGTTGTAAGAATAGGTCTAAAGTTAATGCCTAAATCATAACTAAAGGATGAATCATTATTTATAACTATTATTAATGATAAGGCACAATTTGGATTATAGATTATATATACAAGGTAATAAGACCAAATCCAAATAAATAAATAGTGTGTGACGTTTTAGCGTTGTTACCATCTTCAGACAAAAGTACTGGATGAGTACAAGTACTGAATACAAAGTACTTTTGTCTGAAGATGGTAACAATGCTGTTACCGAAACGTCACACACTATTTATTTATTTGGATTTGGTCTTATTACCTTGTATATATAATCTATTATTAATAGAAGGCAATTCGCTGAGGGAAAAGTTTCTTTTATGTATATCGGCAATACAAGATTTCAGGCTCAACGTAGTTATACCTGTCAAAGGGCTGTTGAGCCTGAAAACTTGTATTGCCGTTATATTTAAAATAAACTTTTCCCTCAGCGAATTGTCTTTTATTAATAATTATACTGAAGGGATTATATTAACAGTATGTTCTAGATTTATAACTATAGTTTAATATCTAAAAAAGGAAATATTTACCCAATTTGCGATTACGTTCTGGGGTGCCGCGAAAAAACATGATGATTGTTTCTGTCTGAAGACACGTGAAGAATGGAGAATACCAGGTTGCTGCCAAAAGAGGCAGTTCAAGCAGAAAGACAATTTTAGGAAGGACGTGGTATTCGGATGAGAGGAACTATGGTGTATCGTTCCAATTTTAGTATATGAACCGCCGAACAAGCGTGTACTATGGGACTATGGTGTAGATACATGGAGATAGAAATAATTCATCCAGGAAGGTCTGACAGAATGTAGACAGGGATTTAGAGATAATCCAGCCAGGAAGGTCTGACAGAATGTAGACAGGGATTTAGAGATAATCCAGCCAGAAAGGTCTGACAGAATGTAGACAGGGATTTAGAGATAATCCAGCCAGGAAGGTCTGACAGAATGTAGACAGGGAGGTAGAGATATTCCAGCCAGAAAGGTCTGACAGAATGTAGACAGGGATTTAGAGATAATCCAGCCAGGAAGGTCTGACAGAATGTAGACAGGGAGGTAGAGATAATCCAGCCAGGAAGGTCTGACAGAATGTAGACAGGGAGGTAGAGATATTCCAGCCAGGAAGGTCTGACAGAATGTAGACAGGGATGTAGAGATAATTCAACCAGGAACGTCTGAAAGAATGTAAACAGGGAGGTAGAGATAATCCAGCCAGGAAGGTCTGACAGAATGTAGACAGGGAGGTTAAGATAATCCAGCCAGGAAGGCCTGACAGAATGTAGACAGGGAGGTAGAGATAATCCATCCAGGAAGGTCTGACAGAATGTAGACAGGGAGGTAGAGATAATCCAGCCAGGAAGGTCTGACAAAATGTAGACAGGAGGTAGAGATAATTAGCCAGGAAGGTCTGACAGAATGTAGACAGGGAGGTAGAGATAATCTAGTCAGTAAGGTCTGACAGAAATATAGACACAGAGAGGTAGAGATAATTCAGCCAGGAAGGTCTGACAGAATGTAGACAGGGAGGTAGAAATAATCCAGCCAGGAAGGTCTGACAGAATGTAGACACAGAGAGGTAGAGATAATCAAGGCAGGAAGGTCTGACAGAATGTAGACACAGAGAGGTAGAGATAATTCAGCCAGGACGGTTTGTTGGAATGTAGACATGTAGTTAACGATAATCCATCCAGGACAGAATGTAGACAAGTAGGTAGAGATAATCCAGCAGCTACTGGATGTCGTGACAGCCCGGGTCGATGGGACACAGCACGACATGCTGTTGACACCTCAGGCGCACTTTCATTGACGTCACTCGATCGCAAATATTTTCATTCACTCGGGTACATTCTGGATTTTTATGGCAAGACACACACACACAATGACATTTTGGTTTATTCATTCGCTCTTAAAATAAGAACCTTATTCTTATTGATTGATCATAATCTGCCCTTTCCTCTAGATAACTCCAAATTGTAAACCATGGGTTTTTCTTTTTTTACAGGCTAGACACTATTCACGGTTGAGTATCCTCATAGCAACACAGAGATTTATAGGCTGCTAAGATAAAGAAAATATTTACACTAGACGAAG